TTACGCACTGCAGCGAGCTATGCGTACATACGCTCGCTATCGATTTTTGTGAGCGTACGTAGAGGTCCCCTGCGTGCCATACTCGTTGATTTCGTTGCGCCCGGGAGAGCGCGAGACTACTCCAGTTTGGAAAATGGCGGCGGTGAGGCAAACCAGTGGAAGTGCTACGCGCGATGTACGGTTTCGCTTCACCATTAAAGATGACCTCAAACTTGTGGAAGATAGAGAAAGAAGAAGGGAAAAAAAAAAAGCCGTTTACAAATCCCTGTAACGCCGAATTGGAGCGCAGCTCTTGAGGAGGAGGAGTGAAGGGTACTGAGGGGAGGGTAGACCCCTCCTCCTCCCCTCATTCTTTAATATGCTCCGGGGGGGCGGTCACGTGACCTCGGGGGGGGGGGTCACGTGACTTCGGGGGGGGGGGGGGGTCACGTGACCTCGGGGGGGTCACGTGACCTCAGAGGGGTCACGTGACCTGGGGGTCACGTGGGGGTCACCTTGGGGTCGCGTGACCTTGAGATGACCTTGGGAGGGGTCACGTGACCTTGGGGGTCACGTGACCTTAGGGAGGAGACCACGTGACCTCGGGGGTCACGTGACCTCAGAGGGGTCACGTGACTTGGGGGTCACGTGACCTTCAAAGGGTCACGTGGGGTCTTGGGGTCACGTGACCTTGAGATGACCTTGGGAGGGGTCACGTGACCTCGAGGGGTCACGTGACCTTGGGAGTCACGTGGGGTCACGTGACCTTGAGATGACCTTTGGAGGGGTCACGTGACCTGGAGGGGTCACGTGACCTTGGGATGACCTTGGTTACGCCGACGGCGACGGCGACGGCGACGGCGACGCCGCTCAAGCCGGGAACGGGCCCCTAAGAGCTGCGCTCCAAAAGGCGAGGCCCGTGGCGGGCGAGGACACGCGGACTGGAGACAGAAGAAACAGCCGGTGTCGAGCAAGGCCTCCAACTGAAGACCCGGACCACTAGACAGCCTTGGCCCTCCTCTTCATCGGACTCTGAACTTAAGTACAGATTAAACCTTTTCCCAATGGTAGCGTTTCCCCGTGTGACTTCCTTAGAGCAAGTGGCACTTGGCCTGATCGGGCGGTATTGACAGGCGACCCACCAACTCCCCAAAGATATCAACGCGACGAACCCTTTCGAGCGCCCACAAAAATGGGTGTCCATAGCCAAGAACGTTGGCGACGCCATCTAACCCAAAAGGGTGTTTATCGTGCGGTCGGTACGCGAGCGGTGCGACCTATTGCTTGCATACTTCCAAGCAAATGACGAGGCCAACATAAGAGAGAAGGGATCCCACAACACACTGGAGCGAACCATAGGTCAAACTGCTGGTCGCACAGTTCTAAAAAGAAGACAAAACACGTTCACAACAGGCAACTGGAAAGAGATTCACGCACTTCGTAGCAAAGCGAGGAGATTCGCGGTGTGATTGGCTTGACCGAATACCCGCCTTGGATTGTTTGAAGCAGTTCGCGGGAGCACATCTAGATGGCGCTGCAAGTATTTACGAATGCGTCTGCCTTCCGCTATACTAAAAGTGCGCGTTCAACGCGCTTCGTTACGTTACGTCGACAGCTTTCGTGCGTTGTACGCAGTGCCGACGCAAGGGTCTTTAGGCTATTCTAAAACTCTCTAATTAGGCAAACGATTTAAAGGTACCCTATTAATGCAGCCACAGGGCGAGTGCTGATTCCCGATTGAATTCATTTCAGCTTAAGTCCAGACCACGGTGTAAGATACACTTTTTAGGTGAGGACACGGCGGGGCTGAACGCGCGGCGCGAGAAATCAGATAGTGTTCGTTCGACGAGCATGCGAAAGGCTGCATCATTCTGCGGCCACCGTGCCCGCTGCTGACAGTGTCGCCGGCGGCTTAACCAAATACTTTACTAAGGGGAATACCATTCCACTCCTCTCAAATACAATAGCTTCGGCGCGGACAGGTTTTCTGGGCTTGGCGAGAGCCATCTATCGTCGTGGAGATCTCGGCTACCGGGCGGTAAATATACTTCGTTTCACCTTATGTGCGAGCGAAGGCAAAGCTGGAAGCGCGAGCACGAAAGCTCCGCGCGTTCAGGCTTTGCTCGAGCGCGCGAGCTGGGCAGAAACGCAAAAAGCTCTGCTCTCGCGCTTTTAGCTTTTCCTTCGCTTGCAGATAAGGTGAACCGAAGTATAGCTCAGTGCTGCGCTAAATACTTTGCTGCGCTGTGCCGCCGTAATCTTCCCAAGGGTTGCACGTTGCACGTGCCTCGTGCATCGACGCACCTCGCGGAGACGACACCGCCGCGGCCGCCGCGAACATCCACGTGCCCATGCGCGTGGACTGACGCGGACCTCCACACCGTCAGCGGCGCTGTAGGCGTTCTGTCTAATGCAAATGAGCAGAGTGGAATGTATTCCCCCTAGTAAAAAATGTGGCTTAACGGTGAAACTGTGTGAGAGCGAAAACAATTATCTCGTTGCCATGCCACCCCGGTACACCGTGGTCTTTCTGCACGAGCGACAACTTCGCTGGAGCTCTGCGCGTGTGGTACATGAGGCGGCACGAGCCGCCTTTGCCGTGCCCACGGGTCGACGAGTCATCTGCTTGTGCCGCTTGAAACCATAGTGAAAGAGAGAAAGAGAGTTAGTGAAAAATGAACTTCATCTTCACTGCGCGAGGAGCGCGCTGTCCTCAACTGAAGAGTACTATCTTACACCGTCCAGACGCAGCAGAGCTAACTTGTAGCCCTGAACGGTGCTTGCACTGCACGAGCGCGCGCGCTTGGCAGGGACGCTGAAGGCCCGGAGCTCGTTCTTGTAGCTTCTGCTAAGAAGGGGTACGCAAACGAAATTTTTTGCACTTATTTCTTTGTTTCGATGTAGTCTACGTTGTGCCGGCAGGCCAGAAACACAAGCCTAAACTAATGTCTCTGGGCTGCAGGCAGAAAATTCAAGAGAGCTAATCAAAACACGAATGAACAGAATTCAAAATTGCGTCTGATGGCGATCTGTGAAGCTCCGTTGGAATGCCGCCACGTCATGAGTTTCTAAGAAGCAGCGTCAGTTCGCGGCAGTATGGCTCGCTCGTGGGGCTACGTACTCCTGAATGTGACTTAGCGGAAAACGCGGATGCGTTTACTCTACTCAGTTTACCCATACGTTGAGACTGCATCCAGAGCTACAAGCGCGAGCTGGCCCGCGCTCCTGGCTTTGAGACATGCATTTCTAGCGCGAGCGCTCGTCCTGCGGAAGAACGCTTTAAAGCAGCGATTTCGAGCTGTCGTGCTTGTGTCATTGGCTGCAGCCAAGTTGTATGTGTCAAAGCTTCCATTGTGCTTCCGTAACGTGCATTTCACACCATCAAGATCGCCGTTGTCTGGAGGCGTTAGGCAGGAGCTTGATCTGAGGATGCGAAGACCTCTGCCGAACAAACCAGACCCCTTCTCTCTCGTCCCCCTTCCCGCGGATGCGCTGTTAATAGCGCGCTCAAAAAGACGTTTTCGGTTTCCTGTCATTATCAGTCACGTGGGTTCCGTATCTGGCATGCGGGACGAAAAAATATCAAAACATTTCCACCTGGAATATGCGAAAAAATATAGGCGAGGCAAAACAAGAATCTGTGATAATCACGCATTTTTCGTAAACACTTTCTAGCGGCGTGGAAAGATCAAAACCATGTTTTACCGCGTACCGGAACTGACGACATTCAAGATGGCTGCGCCCTTGTGGAAAAGGTGTACAGCATATGTGTCACCATTTCTCGGTACTGACGGTTATTTCTATACTTACTGGTTCCCTCGAGCTACTACTTCTGCGGTGTGAAACTAACACGGCAAACCAAACGCTCGTGGCACATAAAATACCTGCACTGCCGTCAATGACGCTACGGGCAAGCTATGTACGCCATAGAGCACCATGTCCTCGATATTGCTACTAGTCGAAATTGTCGAGCGTTGACTCCACCAAGAGGCGAGGCTCGCAACTACAGTACCCTTCACCGTGCATGACATATTGACATCACGAGCGCGATACGAATTGCGCTACTCGCTGACCGACTTTGAAGCAAGGGATATAGAGCCCGCGCTCAGGTCATTTCGTTTCCGTACCCCTTTGAGATGAAATGGAGTACAACACTATTTGCGCATGGGGCACCCGCTGAGCATAGCACTCTCTTGAGTATGGAGGTAGCTGGCAGTTTACACAGCGTCGAGATATATTTCCTTTCTTTCCATCAATAAAAGTCTTCTTCCTCCCCGTGCGAGATAAATTATTCCGTTCGCATTTTTACTCTCGGTTCAAACATTGTTACAACCTTTCACCAAATTCGCGAGGTTGTTAAAGAAAGTTCAACTAAATTGCGCAAGTACCTTGAAAACCGTAATATTTAAACTTGGTGTCAACATTTTTAATGGAATGAACACTTAAAAGCAGAGCAATCCAAGACTTGGGGCTGCGAGCAGGAAAGCAGAATGTAAACAAAGCCAAGGCTGAGTCACGCCGAGCCGCCGACCGAAACGAAGCTCACGCTCCTGACTAACCAAACACGCCGCACTCACTCGTATGAAAACATCTATATATTACCGACTCGTGCCGGGGCACACCGTGCTCTCAAGAGATTACACAGGCGTCATATAATGTCCTATACTTTTGCAGTTGGTGCCCGAAAGCGACAAGCTTAGTACAGGCTTGGTCCGTTTGTGCCGGCACTATTTCTGCGGATGACTTCTCGCTTTATCATTTTGGTTTGCTTGGCTCACAACTGAAGAAGATAAGAGCCTTAATTATTTTTTTCCGAAGCCACTACAGAGGCAAGGTTTGTTAAAGCTCCCGTTTCCGTCGCTATCTAAGATTGTATCGGTGGTTGCCGTGGCTACCGTATATACGATTATGAAGGCAGAGTTGACGGCTTCCGCAAGTCAGCTCCTTTGAGTTTCAGCCGTCCACAGGTGCACCCGCGTTCGTCGCACCACGACAACGTAACATATGTCGTCCATGCTCACCGAAATGAAGCGGCGAATTCTTTTTCTTCACACTGTCATCGACGTACGTGCTTCCGGCGATGTACAAGACACTGTATGCGGCACCGTAGAAGCAGTTGGCCGCAAACAACACTCCAGAAACAACCATCGAGTCAGACATCCAGGAATCGCAGCTCGACGGCGTAACCGCCGTGGGCTGGCAAAGGTCCTGCGACATCCCATCAGAACCACCACCGTAACTGCTTGCTTCAGCGAGTCCTGGGCCGTAGATGACGTAAGGCACAATGCTAACGCAACAGCTGGCCGTCAGAGACAGCACTCCCCAGAAGAGCAACAGCGGTTTGGAGACCGTCCTCGAGTAGTGGCCCACAGCGAAGCTGATGAAGAACGGACTGGCACTATCGGCGAACAGGATGACAGCGACGGACCAGCTGGAGAGGCCGTAGCGGCGTTGCAGAGTGGACATGATGGCGAAGAAGTAGTAGAACTGAGCGTTCTGGAGGATGAGAGCGACGCTGTAGACGAGAGTGAATACTTGCGGTTTGGCGAACACCTGAAGCAAGCGGGGTCGAAACTGACCGACGCCGCAGAGATGATCCCTCGTTGGCATGGACAGGTCGACATCTTGAGTTGACATGATGCAAAGTACGAAGCCTGCGACGCGGACTGCTTTAAACGTCTGCGTTCTCGCGTTGGCAGTAGCCGCGCCGCGTCGGCTTCGTTCTGGGTGTTCTGAGTTACAGCCAAACCCTCCCCGTCGCTTTCTCTCCTTTCCCACGCGGGATAGCAAAGTTCCTTATCGTCTGCCCTTTCGCTCGCCATCGCGTCAGGAGTGTCTAGCGCAACGGATGCTGCTTTCGCGCTGTCGCCCGCTGGACGGCGACGGGCCTGACGCAACAGAGACCTCGCGCCGAGGAATTGTTTTTCCGTTGCATTCTTTACGCCCCCACGGTCGGTTGTTCCTTTGTTCCGGAGCTAAAAAAACCATGCTGCACGTGGTGAAAGAGAAATTGCGGCAGAGCCTGAGCTCTGCCGGTCATCAACTCGCAGCTGCTTCCGCCTGGTGATTGGCTTGAATGCTGTCGTACGAGTAACAACAGACGCGAGTGAATGAACCACGCGAACAACAGACGGCGATAGCGGCAAAGCAACAAAAAGAAAAGACGAAATAAAAATATATATTTGAAATTGAATAGCCCTGAATCATACTTTTTGTCGTGCTCAGAGTAAACTTCTTAAAACTTTCCAATACGTCATTTCGACCCCTGAGAGGAGGCTAGTCAGTAGCGTGTCTTGCTCGCAACCGAAAAGTCGTAGGTTCGAATTTTTTTATTTTTTTTTTGTAAGACAAATGAATTGTTTTATCAAGGGAAATCAGTTGAGACATGCGGCGACCTTTAATTCGCATTACATGCCATGTTTGCATCACTTTCATTCCATCGTGACGTCACGTTTTACGGGAGCGTTGAGGGTTGTTTGAAATTCCTGCGCGAGGTCATGTGACTGTGACGCCGTGACCCTATCCAACTCGCCCAGCAACTCATTTTGGCCTATTGACCAATCAGGATTTTCGCGGCACGACACCGACGCCGGCTTTTATAGACTTTTTCTGTTTCCTCTCGTTCTTAGTCGCGTGGGTTCCGTATCCGGTATGCGGGACGAAAAAATAAAACATTTCAACCTGGAATATGCAAGAAAATCTAGGTGAGGCAAAACAAGAATGTGGGACAATCACGCATTTTTCGTAGACACTTTCCAGCGGCGTAGAGAGATCAAACCGCATACCAGAACTGACAACATTCAAGATGGCTGCGCCCTTCTGGAAAAGGTGTATACGACATAGACACGTACAAATTACTCGAAAAAGGTAGTTAAGTTATTGGCGCCTAAAGTAATTGGAGTAGAGTAGAAATTACGCATTTGTAATAGTAATTGAGTAAAGTACTAACTACTGTAAAAAATAGCGAGTTACTTTGAAGTTACCTTCGACATTACTTTTTTTATGTTTTGGGGGTAGCAAAATGAACAGCAATTTTGATCCGTGAAAAACCCAGCGATGCGCCTAAAATAAATGCAGTGATATTATGGCTTGCGTTTTCACTATAGTCGGTTGCAAGCTAAGAACAATCTTTTAGCTCCACCCACAAGCGCATTGCGCCCATCTGAAGTGCCTCCGCTGTCGAGAAAGTAGTTCGCTAGCAACGTTGCTTTTTCTTCCTCCAGGAAACGTGTCTTAAACTACTACATTATTTATTTAATTCGTTCAGGACATCTAAATAAGTTAGAATACGTTTTTGTCAACGAAATGGCTGTTTAGTAAAGAAAGAAAGTCATGTCCAATGTACCGTCTTCCCAATTCATTTTCTGTCCAAGATGCTGTCTAACATACCGTCTTCAAGCGCCTTCGATTGAGGGAAAGCCGCTTATAATTCCTGCAAATCATAGATATTTAGTGATTTCCTTAGTTTTGTGGGTCTTGCGCACGAAATGTGTGCCTTTATTTTGTTGGATGAATAGAAAACAAGAATAATTATACTTTTCGGGTTTTGACGAATCGGCACCCTCCCAAGTCATCGACACCACCACCGCGCCCCGCTCTCTTTGTCTTGCGTCATGGATCCCACTGAGGTGACATCGGAAAGCGATTCCCCTGATTCTTCTTGGACGAAACAGCCTGGTGCAGCCTTACCGGCGACACCAAAGCGGTTCTTCAAGAAGCACAATCCAACGAAGCAGACGACGTCCGGCGTAGCTTCTCACCTCTCAGCAGTGCTAAGCCTCGCGCCCGCTTCGAAATTTTCGTTGGCGATAGCGTCGCTGGATTCTCACGTTGTCGCGCAGAAACTGCTGCAAACGCAAGCCGATACCATTAAGATTTCGTGGCGTAACCTCGGGTACGTAAAACACGGTGCAAAAAAGCTGAATAATTGTCACGAGAAACTAGCGTCGCGTTGCTAAGGCCAGCAGCCATGTTGAGCTTTTTTTTTTTTTTCAAAAGGATCGCGATTGGTCTACAGAATCGTGACGTCAAGAAAACGATTGGCTGGCGTTTCTCGGCGTAGGATTACATTTTCCTCTGAGAGGCATTTCCGGTTTTTTCTTAGCTTGCAACCGACTATAGTATAGTTTATTTGCTCGCAGAAGCAATTCGCTTTCAAAGTTCTTGATAAGAGAGTTTTCCTTGTTTCCTCCTAAAGACGTCCCCGGCCAAGCTAAAGAGGCGTTCCATCGACGCGCTGGATGAAACGGCTGCGTTGGCTTTCAGAAACAGGCTGTGCAGGGTCGGGTGAGCGAGCGTCGGCATCTTAAAGGGGTCATGAAACGATTTTCCTACTTCTTCCTCCTTAGCTTTAATCCTCAACTCAAATGCAAATTGTGAAACCACGTGGTCGCGACATTCCTTCGGCACCGGTGCGATGGCTCCTAGGTTCCACCGTGCTTTTTATGCACACCATAGAACTTGTCATTCCCCAGTAACAATAAGTTCCGTCAGGGCACTTATTGGCCACGAACGCAAATCCAAATATTCGTCGACGGATTGATTGTTGACGAGCGCATACGTCAGAGTGACGCAGTTCTCGTGTCCAATGCGTGAGCTGGGCTCTGCTGACGTCAGTTTGGCGCCGGTGACGCGCTTTTGGAACCGCGGATGTATCATAGTGAAAAGGCGGAGAGCTTTCGAAGGCAAGAAGGTACAAAATAGTCCGCTATATTTTCAAATGTTCGTACCGAAAAGCTGGCTTTTGACTTTCTAGCTTCTTTCTTTTGGCCAACTAAACGATATGCGATTAGTAAAATCCCAATTTAATATCATTCCAACCCAAAATTCGTTTCATGGCCCCTTTAAGTGTCCATGACAAAACATGTGAGGTTTGCCTCGGCTAGAATGTCCTTTATAAGAAAATCTTTTTTTTTTCTTTTTTCTTCGGCAGGTTTAGATTGTTATGACTAGACTTCTTTATATTCCCACGACGTTCGGAGAGTACGCTGAGCGAGTGCACCTGACCGTCAAGGGTTCAAGTATCGCGCCACGACGATGAGATCATCCGGACGATTGCGCGTCTCGTTACAGTGCTAGTGCTACGATACGGAAAAAAAATGTTTTGGTTTGACAGAAGATGAAACGAAGTATACTTCGCCGCTGATGCCGGGTCCAACAAAAGGATCTCCCAAGGGTGAGTCGCAATTCTCGCCGGCGACTACGGTATCCTGACGCGCCTGGCACGTCTGACACGTAAATCGTTTTCAACAAAGAGGAGGTCTTCTTAGCGTAAAAGGTCGAAAGGACGCGTAGCTGAACTAGGTGAACAAGCATCGTCGCTCGTACAGTTGCAGCTGGAAGCGCGGGAACGTGCTCCCATGAACGGATTATCCGTGTCTGCGTTTGTGCGCGGGGGAGTCCGGCTTTGCAAAGGCGTATGCGCTGACAACGAGGCGGCCATGGGAGCAGGCGCCGAGCTGCGAGGTGATTCCAGTGGTGCCTCTCATGGAACCCCCAAACCGCTTGAGGCAGAGCTCACTAAAGGCAGACAACATGAAAACAACAAAACCCTGGGAGCAGACTTGGACGTAGTTCAACTACTCTACTCAAACTACTGTAGTTTAACCACTTTTCCGAGTAACTTGGTAACTTTTAATCACAACTTTATTTGGGTAATTAGTAGTTTAATTTAACTACTTTTTCAGGTAACTTTACTCAAATTACTAACTATTTTCGAAATCTAGCGCTAATTTTGCTCATCTCAAAAGTTTGAGTGCAGAAATAAATTAGACGCCGGCAGATGAAGTGGCATTCCCGAACAAGGGGACCCCTCACATTCCGTTCCCATGCACTTATACTCGGCAACCGTACAAACTGCACCACAGGCGTCCTTGGGCCAAGGTGGCGACGAGCAGCCAAAGCATAACACCGGCGCGCACGAACGCAGGAAGAGATGCTTGACAAGCCTTGGTCGTGTATTGACCTAATCCGGTAATGCACGTAGGCGCCGCGCCTCCAGCTGCAACCAGAGGTCGGCATTTTAGGTCGCCCTCACTCACCCTCACCCTCACAGCCACACTCACCTAAGCCGCTCACTCACCCTCACCCTCACAGCTACACTCACCTTGAGCCCCTCACTCACCCTCACCCTCACAGTCACACTCACCTTCAGCCCTTCACTCACCCTCACTGAACCTCACGGCCCTCACGCACTCACCGCCCTCACGGCCCTCACGCCCCTCACGGCCCTCACGCCCCTCACTCACTCATGGCCCTCACGAAACTCACCGCCCTCACGCCACTCACGGCCCTCACCGCCCTCACCGCCCTCACGGCCCTCACGCACTCATAGCCCTCACGCCACTCACCGCCCTCACGGCCCTCACCGCCCTCACGGCCCTCACGCCACTCACGCCACTCACCGCCCTCACGGCCCTCACGGCCCTCACTGCCCTCACCGCCCTCACGGCCCTCATGCCACTCACCGCCCTCACGGCCCTCACCGCCCTCACGGCCCTCACGCCACTCACCGCCCTCACGCCACTCACCGGCGTCACCGCCCTCACGCCACTCACCGCCCATTAAGAATACTAATGCACCTTTCTGAAACAGTTTATTTCCAAAAAACGATCGATTTCAAACCAGAACCAAGTCTTTCGGTGTCATCATCACCGGCACGAGGTATCACGTGAAAATTTTGCGTCCCTGATTTGATGCAGCCGCTTCAAACGTATTCGAATTGCTCCGAGTTGCTTGCTTATTTCGAGCCGGACCCGATCTCAGCAATTCGTGTCGATCTAGGGAAAGCTAGAGAACAACCCGTCATTAACACCAAAATTGCTGAGAAAGATGCTCGATCTGAAGGGGGCCTCACGCACTCACCGCCCTCACGCACTCATGGCCCTCACACCACCTCA